CCCGGCCGTCACCGGAAGGAGCACATGGATGAAAAGAAACAAGGAATGAATGAACTATGAATGAATTGGGTACAAGTAATAACCCTAATTGGGTTGTACCCCTTATGGGCTACCCCACTATAGCCTACACAATATGCATGAGCTATAATGTTCTGACACACCCCCATAGGCAAAGTGGGGGAGAGCAAGGGGTCACAAGACCAGTCAAGTAAAGCAAAGCAAAGCAAGCTCAGGGTGGATCACAAAGTCACCACACATTCCGAGCACAAGTTCAAGGCCACAAGGCCAGTTCACATGCAGGAGTACATATATATATAAAAAAGGCTAGACAAGCAAGAGCAGGTATATATATATGTAACAGTACAAGCACGGTCAAGAGGTGAGCAAGTGAGGCAAGGTAGGCACAAGGCCCAGCTGAGTACAGAAGCGCTGATGGTCACAAGGCGCAAGCGCCTTGGTGAAGATATCAGCAGTGTTGGCCTCAGAGGCCACGTACGCAAGACGCAGCTGACCACGCTGCTGCAGCTCACGAGCAAGAAAGTAGCGGAGAGCAATGTGCTTCGTTCTGTGCTCCAGTCGCTGCTCCCGACACAAGGCCAGCATGGCCTTGTTGTCTACGTACAGCACTGGAGGAGAACGAGGCGGCTCTCCGAGGTCAGTCAGTAGGTAGGTGAGCCAGCGAAGCTCCTGTGCAGCCATGGCTCCTGCGTAGATCTCAGCCTCACAACTGGAGCCGAGAACAGAAGACGAGCGAGTAGCCCGCCACGAAACAGAGCCGGAACCAAGGCTGAAGGTGTAACCCTGTGACGACCGCTGCGTAGCCTGGTCGTCAGCCCAAAAAGCGTCTGCGTGCCCAGTAAGGACCACTGGACTCTGCCCTCCAAGCACAAGCCCCATGCCCGACGTACTGCACAAGTAGCGCAACACCCTCTTCGCTGCAGCCATGTGCTCAGGTCTGTGTCTCCCAGGAGCAACATAGCGTGCGAGAATGCTAAGAGGGTATGCAAGGTCAGGTCGTGTGCAGGTCATCAGGTACATGAGGCAGCCAACAAGCTCTGGGTACGGGCCACTCGACTCTACGGACTCATCCGAAGGCAGAGCTGAGAGCGAGTGGCGAGTAGGCAGAGGAGTGGCCTGAGGCGAGGAGTACGTGAAGCCGAAGCGCTGAAGGACCTGCTGCACCATGTGTGACTGAGTCAGGGTAATGGTGCGGCGTGCTCTGTCCCGAGTGATCTGCAAGCCAAGGTAGCTGCGCAGTTCACCCAGGTCAGTGCACGTGTGTCTCTTCTGCAGCTCGGACTTCACGTGGGCGAGTCCAGCAGTGTCAGCTGTGGCAAAGACCAAGTCGTCGACGTACACGAGGATGTAGAACGGCGGCAAAGAAGTGTCGGTGCGCAGAAACAGCGACGGGTCGGCAGTAGAGGGAGCAAACCCAAGAGCCGCAAGTGTAGTCCTCAGTGTGTCGTGCCACTCACGCGGTGCCTGGCGGAGACCGTAGACTGGCCGCCGTAGGCTCCACTGGGTGCCAGGAGGAAAAGACCCAGTGAAACCAGGTGGGCGACGCAGCCAGATCTCCTCGTGCAGGCTGCCCTGCAAGAAAGCAGTGCTGAAGTCAAGAGAGTGTAGCTCGTAGTCACGGTGAGCAGCTACGTGCAGCAGTACCCGAAGAGTGGTCATCTTCGGGGTGGGAGAGAAGGTCTGAAAGTAGTCAACTCCCTGCCGCTGACTGAAGCCTCGAGCCACGTAACGCGCCTTGAAGACAGGCGGAGAACCCGGCGGCCGCTTCACCCTGAAAATCCACATGCCACTGACGATGTTCGCCCCAGGAGGGGGAACAGCGTCAACGTAGGTGCCTGTGGACTTCCAGGAAGCCATCTCTGCGTCCATAGCTGCCTGCCACTGAGAGGAGTAGGGACCCTCTATCGCCTCCGCGTAAGAGCGCGGAGTCGGGATGTCAAGTGCATCCGGGTCTCCCTCAGGGGTAAGCAGTACGGACACGAGATGAGGTGAAGCAGCGGCCAAGCACTGGAACTCCTCCTGCCTGTCCTCAAGGACGTCCGTGCCAAGGGCACACTCACCCCCGACGGACGGAGGACAGACAGACTCAGACTCAGCAACAAGACTGGCGACGTAGTCTAGGCGACAGCGAGCAGCAAAGTCGACGAGCTCAGCAACTAGGGCAGACGCAGCAGCGGACTCAAAGGAAGGGTCAGTGACAACAGTAGCAAGGAGACGCGTGACAGTAGGACTGGCAGCACGAAGAGAGTCCGACTCCGGGTCGGCAAGAGCAGGAAGAGAAGACTCAGGAGGAGAAGGCAAAGGGGCACGCAGAGGAGCAGTGGACGGACGCAGAGACATCTGGTGCGTGCCAGGGACAGGAGGAGGACGCTGACGTGAACCACGACCACTAGTGCGAGCAGCACGGACAGGCGACGCAGGGCGAGACGCAGGCTCACGACGCTCAGCAAGACCTCCAGTAGGACCAGTGTAGGGAGACGGAGCAGGCAGTGGGGAGGCCGGCTGTAACTGTAACTGCGACGGGACAGGCTGTGGACACTCTAAGGGAGGAGGAGGACCAGTAGAAGACGGGAGACCAAGAACCTGCTGAAGGAGCGGAACGAAGTACGGCCGAGGCCGCGCGGCGACTCCAGACACAGCAGGGACAGCACCAGCACCCCCTGGGGCAGCACCAGCACCAGTAGCAGCTCCAGCTCCAGTACCCCCAGCAGCACCAGCAGTACCCCCAGCAGGACCGCCTCCAGGACCGACAGCAGTAGCCTCCGCGCCAACACCCGCAGCAGCTCCAGCTCCAGAAGTACCCGCAGGTCCAGCAGCTCTAGTACGCCCAGTACGAGCACCTCCGGGACCCGTGGCACCAGCTCCCTCAGCAGCAACAGAAACTCCAGTACCCGCAGCTCCTCCAGCTCCAGCAGCTCGCCTCCAGCGCCGGGCAAACCACTCACGCAGCTCCTGTGGAGAGAGTGGCTCCCGGCGAGAAGAAGCACCCGGAGAACCACCAGGCACAGCACCAGCAGGCCCAGCTCCCTCAGGCTCCGCACCCCCAGGCTCAGCACCTCCAGGCGTAGCACCCCCAGGCTCAGCACCCCTAGACGCAGCACCCCCAGGCGTAGCACCCCTAGACTCAGCACCCCCAGGCTCAGCACCCCCAGTCGTAGTACCCTCAGGCTCAGCACCCCCAGGCGTAGCACCCACACGCTCAGCACCCTCAGCAGCACCAGAGTCACCAGCGACCTCGACAGGCTCAACAGCGTCTACCTGGGACACACCTGAAGGGGCAGGACCCTGAGGGGGGAGGGGGTCTACCGGGGGGGGACCTGGTACCAGGAAGAGCGGTGGCGGGGGGAGGGACGGAGTGCGGTAGGGGAAGAGGCGGTAGTAGGGGACCGACTCGTCGAACGTGACGTCCTGGGAGGACAGAACACGGCGAGAGGTGGGGTGGTAGAACTGCCACCCTGGGGCGTCAGGGGGGAAACCCAGGAAGACGCAAGGAGCAGCACGAGGGGACAGCTTGTCCGCAGACAAGTCGCGGACAAACGCCCGAGATCCCCAGACACGGAACGCAGACGCATCGCCAACCTTCCCCGTCCACAGCAAGGCTGGGGAGGTCTCCGGCATGGAGACCCTGGGCTGAAGGTTGATCTGATGCGCCGCGTACCGAACCGCAAACGGCCACAGAAAGTGGGGGGCAGCCGCATGCATCATGGACGTACGGGCGACGTCCATGACCATGCCAATGCGGCGCTCAGCAATCCCATTTTGCTGTGGAGAGTCCGGAAGCGTGAAGGTCTGGCGGATGCCTCGTGCACGACAGTAGGCTCGCAGAAGGCCAGAGGAGAACTCTCCGCCTCTGTCAGAGTGCAGACGCAGAACAGGAAAGTCCGAGCCGAAGCTCCGCCTGAGCTGGAGACGAGCTGCGCGGATCCAGTCGATCAACACCTCAGTGACATCACCCTTGCTGCGCAAGGGGAAGACTGTGGTGTAACGCGAGTAGTCGTCAACCACCAGCAGGAAGTAGCGCTCGTGACCCTGTCCACGGACGCGGGCCGGGCCCCACACGTCCATGTGAAGCGTCTGCAGCGGGGCCTCTGTCGGAGGAAACTGGGAGGAGTGAGGGGTAGCCCGCTGTCGTCCCTCGACACAGGGGACGCAGGTAGGGCCAGGCCCCGGAGGAAGTGGAGGGAGGGACCGGGGAAGACCAGAGACAAGGACACGGGAGGCCATGCTTCGGAGACGAAGCAGGGAGGGGTGACCAAGGCGGTGGTGCCAGAGGAGAGTCTCGTGAGACAGGAGGCGACACGAGCAGGGGGCAGACTCAGGACCAGACCTGGACGCTGCAGCAAACACCTGACCCGACGCAGCTACCTGACCAGACGCAGGGACCGGAGGAGACGCAGTGGTCAGTGTGTACAGGCTCGACCCCGGCCGACGTGTAAACGTGGCCAGGTGTCGGCCTGTCCGAGCGTCCGTGCAGTGGGTCACCCGCTGACTCGCAGGAGTGAACTGGTGAACCCCCGCATCCTGTAGGTCAGCACCACTCACCAAGTTCGTAGAGAACGAGGGGAGGTAAAGACCAGACAGGGTGCCAGAGGGGGCCGCCGGACACGGGAGGACAGTGGAGAAGTGAGCAAGGACAGGACCCCCAGAGGGGTCTGCCAGAGAGACCGCAACTGGCCGGCCAAGCGGCGTGAGTGTGGTGCGGTCTCGAAAGAAGGAGCGAGAAGCCCCCGAGTCAAGGGTAAAGGTGTGGGAGGCCGAAGCCGACGCAGAACCTGAGAGAGCAGACTCACCAGTACCTGAGGGAGCAGACGCACCTAGAGCAGCAGCCTCGCTAGCACCTAGAGCAGCAGCCTCACCAGGACCTAGAGCAGCAGTCTCAATGCCCGGGTCGGGCGGAAAACACCGGTAACAGTCACCCTCATCACTAATAGTCACAGTATACATGGCAGCAAGAATAGCATCAAAGTCAAGGTCAAAGACAGCTACCCCCGCCCTAGACAGCTCACCCCAGCGGGGGATCTCAGTGGCCTCAGGGAACTGGTGACGCCAAGCGTCCGTCAGGCGGCCAAAGCAGCGCTGGGTGGAGTGCGCACCCCCGCACTGCTCACCCGCGCGGTCGCCGGTGCGCAGGACGTAGGTGCACGGACCAGTACCCCCACCCCTCTGGCGTGCAGTGTACCACTCACGGAGCTGCTGAGGGGAGGGGACGTCACGAGTGCGCTGCTGCTGCTGCTGCTGCTGCTGCTGCTGCTGCTGGCGTTGACCACCACCGGAGCTGACCCTCTGCGCAGCGCCACCCCGACCAGCTCCACCTCCTCCGCCGCCTCCTCCTCCACCGCCGCCACCTCCGCTCCCTCCGCCACCGCCGCTGCCGCCTGCGCCTCCACTGCCGCCACCTACACCTCCACCCCCGCCACCACCCCCACCGCCACCCCCACCTCCTCCACCGCCTCCACCGCCGCCTCCACCGCCCCCGCTAGCTCCTCCAGCGCCCCTGCCCCCCTTGCCCCTGCCAGGGCGGCGTCTCCCGCTAGGGGTAGACGCTGCCCCAACCGACTCCAAACCAGCGAGGTCGGCCGCAGCAGCAGAGGCAACAGAGGGCAAAAGAGGGGAGGGGGAACACCCCTCAAAGATGGGGGTGCGAGGGTCACCACGAGAGGCTCCTACAGCGACTATGCTCTTTTCTGCTGCTAGGAGGGCCTTCTCGAGGAGGTCAACGGTGAGAGTGGTGGGACAAACCGAGAGGAAGTGGTCCCTGACTACGCGAAGGGAGTCAGGGAGACGGGTGACTATGTAGTAGAGGGTGATGTACATGGGGGGGGGGTTCTTGGCGCAGAACTCAGCAGGAAGCGCAGCGCGGTAGCGAGTGTCACTAGTGCGGAGGTGCGTAATGAGGTCAGCAACTGTGGGAAAGGCAGCAAGGTCAGGGAAGAGGTACGGTAGCATGAGGCGGCTCAGTGCAGCAGTGGCAGGGGAGGAGTAGCGTGCAACTACAGCGTCGTACAAGGTCTGAGCACTCTTGTACTGGCTAAAGTGCGCACGCTCAGAGGTAGGTAGGTGGCGGCGCACAGCAAGACGTGCAGCAGCATCGCGCGTGGCCCACTGTGAGCGAACAGTGGCGTCAGCATCAGCAGCGGGGGCAGTAGAGGCACCAGAAGTGAGGTCAAAGAGGGAGAGGCCGTCTGCTCTGTCGCACTGTAAGAAAAGCTGCAGGTCATCTATCCAGACGTCAAAGTCAATGGCCCGACCCTCAGCGTCAAAAGCGAGGACACTAGGGGTAGCCATGACAGCAGTAGACTAGCAGTGCAAACAGTAGGGTGAGGGCAGTGCTGTGAGAGAGGCGCTGCTCTTACCGGACAGGGCGGTTCGGGCGGCTCGGCTGCAGGGCGGCTCGGCGACTCGACGGCTGGGCGGCTCGGCTGCTGGGCGGCTCGGCAGCTCGGCTGCTGGGCGGCTCGGCTGCTGGGCGGCTCGGCGGCTGGGCGGCTCGGCGGCTGGGCGGCTCGGCTGCTGGGCGGCTCGGCGGCAGGGCGGCTCGGCTGCTGGGCGGCTCGGCTGCTGGGCGGCTCGGCGGCTGGGCGGCTCGGTTGCTGGGCGGCTCGGCGGCTCAGCGGCTGGGCTGCTCGGTTGCTGAGGGGCTCGGCGGGTGGGCTGCTCGTAGGAGTAGGCGCGGGGGCCGTAGGAGCAGGCGCCGGGGCCGTAGGAGCAGGGGCCGGAGGCTGCTAGGGCGGCGGATCGGGGCCGCGAGGGCGGCGGATCGGGGCCGCGAGGGCTGCGGAGTAGGGGCCGTGAGTGCGGCTGATGGGGGGGGGCCGCGAGGGCGGCGAATCGGGGCCGCGAGGGCGGCAGAGTAGGGGCCGCGAGGGCGGCGGATCGGGGCCGCGAAGGGCGGCGGATCGGGGCCGCGAGGGCGGCGGAGCGGGGCCGCGAGGGCGGCGGATCGGGGCCGCGAAGGGCTGCGGATCGGGGCCGCGAGGGCGGCGGAGCGGGGCCGCGAGGGCGGCGGATCGGGGCCGCGAGGGCGGCGGATCGGGTCCGCGAGGGCGGCGGAGTAGGGGCCGCGAAGGGCGGCGGATAGAGCCGCGAGGGCGGCTCGAAGGGGGCCGCGAGGGCGGCGCGAAGGGGCCGCTAGGGCGGCGCGAGAGAGGGGAGCGCGACTCGGGCAGCTGCTGAGTGCGCTCCGGGCAGGAAAAAAAAAAACGGTGGGCCCTAGGAACAGTTCCCACGGGGGAACCTGCTCGATACCATGAAAAGAAACAAGGAATGAATGAACTATGAATGAATTGGGTACAAGTAATAACCCTAATTGGGTTGTACCCCTTATGGGCTACCCCACTATAGCCTACACAATATGCATGAGCTATAATGTTCTGACAATGGATGCCGCTAAGAGGGTGTTGCGCTACTTGTGCAGTACGTCGGGCATGGGGCTCGTGCTTGGAGGCCGGAGCGACGTTGTCCTCACTGGTCACTCAGACGCTTCTTGGGCTGACGACCAGGCTACGCAGCGGTCGTCTCAGGGTTACACCTTCAGACTTGGCTCTGGTTCAGTTTCTTGGCGTTCTACTCGCTCTTCCTCTGTTCTCAGCTCCAGTTGTGAGGCTGAGATCTACGCCACAGCCATGGCTGCACAGGAGTTACGCTGGCTCACCTACCTGCTGACCGACCTGGGAGAGCGGCCTCGTTCTCCTCCAGTGCTGTACGTCGACAACAAGGCCGCCATTGCCTTGTGTAAGGAGTACAGACTGGAGCACAGGACGAAGCACATCGCTCTGCGCTACTTCCTTGCTCGAGAGCTGCAGCAGCGTGGTCAGCTTCGTCTTGCGCACGTGGCCACTCGGGCCAACACTGCTGATGTGTTCACCAAGGCGCTTCAGCCTTGTGATCATCAGCGTTTCTGTACTGTTCTAGGCCTTGTGCCTACTGTCCCTTACTTGCTCACTTCTTGACTCTGCTTGTACTGTGATCTCTATATATATACCTGCATGCTTACACTTGCTAGGTTGTGATCACTGTACCTCTTGTTATATTATCAAACTGCATGTGAACTGGTCTTGTGACCACTTGCTTGTGCTCGGAATTTGTGTGGTTTCCTTGAGATCCATCCTGAGCTTGTTTTGCTTTGCTTTGCTTTGACTGGTCTTGTGACCCCTTGCTCTCCCCCACTTTGCCTATGGGGGTGTGTCAAACATTATACATGTTACTGCTGTGTAGGCTACAGTGGGTTAGCCTTTAGGGGGTACATTACTCTAGGGTTTGCTACTTGTACTCTCAACATTCCTAGTTCAATCATTCTCGTTCAGTTCTACATTCTAACACTTACCATCATGGCGACCAGGTAGTCTTTGACGTAGGAGGCCAATTGCCTCACCTCATCCGCCAACTCCGTCACCGTTTGCCCCTTTTTCTGCTTCAAAGTCGTCAGCTTATGCATCACTGTCGCCGTGGACTCCCAAAAGAACCGGTCCTGAAACGCTTGCTCGAACCCCGCCACCGTCGTGAATTTCTTGCTTTCCGCCCACACATAGGCAAAGTCGGTAAGGTGCATGAGTAGGTAGTACAACTTTTGCTCGTCCGTCGTGTTCGTGAGGAAGCACCTCATCGCCCTCGTGGCTTGGCTTAGCCACACCTTGGGGTCGGGAGAGCGTCCATCGAACCGCGGGAGCTGGCCCATAGCTGCAGCAATCGTCGATATGGTATTAGTAGAAGTACGCACAAGGTCTGTTTTCTCAGCCAAAGGGAGAGAGGGACCTGTATGGGCCACCACAAAATCACTAACTTTTAAAACTTCTTGACCACTCTTCTTGAGCATCACCCGAATACGTATGACCTCTTTTACAACACTTGTAGTACGAGACTCCTTTCTTGGATAGCACTTCCTTCCTCGTAGAGTTGCAGCCCTCCCCTCGGGCTCTTCTCCACTTGAAGAGGTGCTCCTCCTAAGGTAGACTCCAAGGGTACTCCAAGGTAGCTTGAGTGGGCCAAGGTACAAGGTAGCTAGAAGGTTGAGAGAGCTTGTGGCATTGGTAAGAATGCACTATGAGAATATTATGAATTACACACAACCTACAAGGACTTATATAGTGGAAGGGCATACCCAAACCACCATCCTTCTATCTTATTCATGCAATCCTAGGAATCCTTTACCTATTGGCCGAGGATTCTAGCAATCCAACCAACCAATGAGAGTGCCCGGTTGAGTTCACCCACATCTTCAAGGGAATCTCCACCATAGAACCTTCCTTGTTGCCTTCCTCATTCCCCTGCCCTGCTCCTTCCATGCTCCTTCCCCAATAGATCCTCCCATAGCCTCCACCAAGGAAACTTCCATCAAGCCACCTTCCAAGGAACCTTCCACTTACTCTTACTCCCAAGGAAACTTCCTTATGACCAGCCCATCCTCCTTAATGCAATTCCCAGCTACATGCATAAGAATAAAGGGTAAACCTTAGTAAAATACCCTCCACAAGTACCAACCCTCTTATAAATAACCCGAGGGTAAACTCAAACCAATAGACCTTACCAAGATCAAGGGATTTATCTTTAGAAGTTTAGTGTTTAAGTTACACCAGCACTAACTCTCCCAAGTCGGCACTAGTGCATTGTCCCGAACAGGCGCCAACGCCCTTTGAGGGCACCAATGCATTTCTCTACCAGCATCCGTGTTGCTGATTGTACGTAGTTGAACTGCTGCTCCCACCCTTTGAACAATCGCTTGTTTGGTGCATGTAGCGGCGTCAAGCAAAAGGTTCGTAGATGATAGGCTGCATCCCCTAACAGTTGATATTCACATAGATCTCCTAACTCTATCCTTTCGTACAACTTGCTCTTCACAAACAACTGTTGATCATGCACTGCAACAGGATATGCAAGCGTGTATTCCCAAATAACCCCTCTTGCATCACATGTCACTTGCAGTAGAATAGAATAGTGGGACTAGCAGTTGTAGTACTATGTGCGATGGATCTCCGTGCCACGCACTTGAATGTGTGCCCCGTCAACAACTCCAACAATGTTGGGAAGTCGTTTGATGTTCATGAACCCAGTAGCTATACTTGGAAGCTCTTCAATTGTTGGGAAGTGAACTTAGAAGGTGTCTACCAATTTATGGTAAAGAGTTTTGCAAACGCCGAAGAAATAGACATGCCAACGAATTACATTGTAGATGCAAAACACTTTACTCGAATCAAGACGCATAGCTGCTCGGGTATGTTGTAGTTGATAACGAAAGGGCCGAATATAGGGTGCATGCATTCCTGGATGATAACCATGATTTTCTTGCTGATTCGAAAGACGTCTTAAAACTCATGCTCGGACATGAGCTTGATCTTAGCCATCGACTCTGTCTTAATCTCTTCACAACGCCTTTTCCGCGCAACTGCCTTCACTTTTCGGCGTTCTCAGCTTCAACATCCTCCAAACCTTGTTGTTCAACAAAAGCCAGCCATGACTGACCAGCGATGGCAACCAATGGCAGGAGGCTGTCGTGGTAAAACGTACGCCACAGCTGAACCAGGCATCATAACAATGTGAGTTGCCATAGACTGAGCATGGTGTATAATTTTAGGATAAGGAGAAGTGACAATGTGTCTCTGTTTGCAGTTGAGTCAATATAGAAAAATTGTAGGCTTGCTGGTTTCACCAGCAAGAGTTTGGCAGAGTTATGAAATTGAGCTATTGAGTTATGACGATTCAGTATTGCACGTGCGTGCATTCTGTCAAGCAGCCAGACGTCAACTTTGTAAGTGGAATTGACGGCCAAATTTCATGCGACCACATTTCGATCGCACACTCCCAACATACGTTGTTGTAGGGGGGAACGTGATTCTGGTTACAGCTCGCTGGTTGCGCTGGCGACTACCGTGGGATCCCGGATCGGAAATCCCAAAGTCAGAGCGGGTGCCCTGCTGTTCGGGAAAACAAATTTCGGATGTTCGAAAGTGCGGATGTCCCAAAGCCAGGAATCAGCCCTACGTAATGTATTTTTTTGAAAATGTGTAACACTTTCTAAAAGTGTGTATCGTGAATAGCGAAGATATTTGTACCGAAGCAAAAGCCTTTGTCAAACTGCTACTTTCTCTCTTTTTGGTACAAAGGAGGGGGCGAAGGCCATTTGGCCTTCACCCACGTTTTCATTTCAAATTTTGGGTGGCCGAGGTGTCGGAGCTATTGGGACTGCTGCAGTGGCTGCCCCGCACCCTGCTGCTACTACTACAATAGCTGCTGGTGGCGGAGCTGGTGGTTTGCTGCTGCTGCTGCTAGTGCTAGCGCTAGTGCTGTTGCTG